TATATATATATATATATATATATTTCGTCGTTCCATCGTCCATCGATACAGTTATACGTAACAATACACGTAACACATTTAACACAATGCGCACATTTTTTTTCGTATAATCCATGTAACCGCGAAAATTGTTAAATCACAATCTACCAAGGCCTCCACATTCCTTCCTCATCCTTCGAAGGTTGTTGTGGGATTGGAGATGGTGAACGAATTCCTGTGACGAATTCACTGCTCGTATGACTGGACGGTCTGCCTTCCGGAACCGATCCTTCCGAACGGCCTGCGAACTGCTGTTGTTGATGATGCTGTTGTTGTTGTTGCTGCTGCTGTTGCTGTTGATGATGGTCGACGTTGCCCACAGCTGCAACCGATGATCTCGTGCTGGGTTTTGGCTTCTTAGAGGTAGTCGTGAAGTCGAGCGGTTGTTCCGGTTGCTCGAGTCTTGGACTTTTGCTTGGCTTTGTACCAATGGCCGAGATCGCATTGGTAGCGAAGGTAGAAACGGGGGCGGAAGCGGAAATGGAAGCGGAAACAGAAGCGTTGCCGGACGTAGCGGCAGCGGCAACGGTCGCGGCAACAGCAGCAGCAGCAGCATTAACGGCAACAGTGGCCGCGTCCTGCCATTCTTGTATATCTTCATGCGGTCGTTTCGCGGCGAGTTTATCCGTAGCCTTGAGAAGAGACATGTTAGTCGCGGCCCATATGGCCGTGGGTGGATTCGGCCCGATACTGATACCGTTCGCCGCGGCGGCAGCCGCGAGTTGTACGTAATGACTAGGAAGCAGGAAAACTACCTGACCGTCGGGTAGCCTGGAAGGTATCACTTGCACGACTGACAACATGTTTGGATTTTGTTGCGAGCTGGAAGCCTGATCGATAACCGATATACCGGGTGGAGGGGGTGGAGGTGGATGATGATGATGATGATGTGAATCAAGGTTGGTCGTGTTAGCCTGACCGAAGGCAGAAGTTGGCCGGCTGTTGCCGTTGCTACTGCTGTTGCTATTATTGTTGTTTTCGTCGCCGGCGGTAGTGCTACTATCCGGTCTAGCTGGCTCGATATCCGGGATCTCGGCTTTTATCAAACCGACCGGATTCAAAGATGTACTACAGTGTGCAGTCGATGGCACATGATGCTCCAGCGGACCGGGACTTCCCGAGCCTGTCACTCGATCCGTCACGCTTCCGGGACTGCTGCCTAATCCGCTATCCGGCCTCGAACCCAAATCCAAGTCTAATTCTGACACGCAACTATCCAAATGTCGTAGTAGCCTTTGCTTCACGGCAGGGTCCATCGGTGTCGTGTTCCCCGTAATTATGTCCGGGGCGTCGAGATATCGACTTACCTGAAACGCAAGATCAAAGCAAAAGTGCAAAGTGAATGGAGCATGGACAAATCTGAGCTGTTCCTCGTTGTTCCTCCTTGAATGGATGAACTCGTATCTTTAAACGGGATGCTAAATAAACAGGAGGTCAGGTTAAAATTGACTTATACTCGGTATCATTATCGTTAACACTGGATCGAGTCACAAATAAGACGCACACAATTGATTGATTAGTTATATAAGTAAATACAATTTGTATTTACCATGTATAGGTAATTTTTTTCTAATCGTATATAAATCATTAATTATATTTTTCCTATTTCGCAAGAGACAAATAAATATTGAATGAAATGTACCTCTCTGGAACAATCTTGATAGCCAGCCTTGTATCTCGATAAACCGGGCTGAGCAAGAGATCTTTGCCTTTGTAAATGCCGTACTGTTAACTCTAAAATGTCAGCTTTTTCAAGTTTGCTATGCTTCGTGTTCTCCAGCCGGGCGCTGTCAAGGATGAGCGCTTTCAGCGCCGCCAACGACTGATTGATTCTAGCTCGCCGTCGCTTTTCCATTAGTGGTTTGTTAGCCTGAAAAATAATGATGCTATTGCTAAATAGTATAGTAAGACATTAGAATATGGATGACCGTCGTTTCTAAAATGTTCGCCTACCAATATCATCTATTCCTCCTTTCTTCTTCTCGCTTCGCGTCTCTACTCTTTTCTTATTCCATACAATACATAGGTATAAACTACGTATCACAATACAAATAAAAGGATTTAATCATTACAGAACTGAAAGAAAAATTTTTTTATATCAAAATTCAAAGAAATTATAAAAAAAAAATCAAAAGAAAAATAAAATTGTGAGAGTATTGAATTGTGCTGAATATGCAACTTTAATAAAAGTAAAAAATTATAAATTTAAATTATTTATTCCAATTAATTATATATATATATATATATG